AGAGAGAGGGGTTATTACATTATTACTGCTAACGATACTACTAATCTAATAATACTATAACAACTGCAATTATTACTACAATTAATACTGCTATCATTTCAAATACAACTGCTATTATTATCACTTTTGAATTGATACTGCTAAAATGTCGACCATTATTATTATTATTATTATTATTATGAGTACTGCTCTATTTAGTATTTATACTGAAAATATAACTTACATATTGCCATTATTACAAATATGAATAGTGCCATTATAACATGGTTTACACGGCTACTGGCATTATTTATTATTAGTAATTTAATTGTATGACTATCTTATATACATTTATTTCAAATTTTTAAATACATTTTATATAACTATTCTTGGAGTAAGTATTTTCATCGTAAACAAAATGCTGTATATGATAATAATGAAACTTAAAGATGCTCTCGATGTTTAAGCTCCAGTTTCTCCCCGTCAGTCTAACCCACTCCACTTCCTGTCTGCTGTACTCACGATCTCGTCCTCCACGTCTCTGTTGAACTGGTGGATTTCCCTGGAGGACATCAGGTTCTCCCTCCTCTGCTGCAGCGGCGCCTGCAGGGCCTGCAGCTTGGTCTCCACGCTGATCCTCTGGCCGTCCACCTCCTCCGAGCCCTTCCCCTCCTGACTGAGCGCCTGGCTCTGGTGCTGCAGCTCCCCCACCTCCTTCTGACGCACCTCCACCTGGCTCTCCAGGATCTGAGGGCCACACAGGGGGGTTAGAGCATTCAAAAACACAGAGGGGAAAAGTGTTTTTTAAAGAAATAGAATTAACTTTTGAAGTGATTTTAAACAAGAGATACATATCTAAAGTCAACTCTTCTTTAGTGTATGAATACAAAATGGGTTTCACAACAATAATATAAAATATAAGTGAACTAGAATGAAAAATATAACATGATAAATATTAATTCTCAAGGACTTTTTACTATTTATTCCACAGCTTTCACTCAGAACTCATTCTTCCTCAGTGAGTATATCGTTTGCTAAAGCTCTGGGAAAGGCTAGTTAAGATATTTATCCTGTAAATTAGTCAAATTAAATAAATTGAAATACATTAACAAATGCAAAGTTCAAAACAAATTAAGAAATCCAACAAAATAAACATGGAATTAAAATATTTAAATTGAATTAGAAGTCACACATTTTATCTACCCTTCGTAAAAAAGCAGATAATGAAGAAGTAAACTCCTTTACAAAGATAACGATGCTTCAGAGGCCTCGTCTCATCTTCTCCTCGCCTGAGAACAAATATTTCTTAACCCGAAAGACTGGAGGGAAAAAATGTAATCTAATGAAATCATTCATCTCAAGAAACAGATTCATACAGGAGTAAAAAAGGTGTGAGCTAAAAATGAACACACACACACACACACACTGAGAGCGCGGGTGTGTGTGTGTGTGTGTGTGTGTGTGTGTGTGTGTGTGTGTGAGATGTATTCTGTAAAGGGTGGTTTGGTTCACTCTCTTTTCACTGCTGGTAAAAAAAGGAGAAAACAATGAAGAGGTTCTTCCAGGAATTTAGGAGCTTTGGTTCGTTATGAATTATTGTTTGGAGAATTCAAAAATAATAACATTTCGAAGCACACTTCTTTACCTAAGACCTGAACTCAGCTTGTGCCAAGATTCAACATCTCCGGCGTCTTGTATGTTCTCTATGTTTGTGACATGTTTAGTGTTCAGTTCCCCTTCATTGTTCATCAGCTCTGAGGCTCAGAGGAAGGGAAACGCTGCCGTCAGAATGAGAGATGTAACAGGAAGTGTGTTTTACAGGAACGCAGGAAGAGCTTCTGTGCATTAGAAACTAGAAACGGAGCCCTCTGAGTCCTATCATAGGTGTTCATGGTAACGCACTGTTCCTGTTAATATATAATAACGGAAATAGACGCAAAACAACCGAAAAAAGAAAAAAACATCCAAAAAACGACCAGGTAGAGAGGCGCTAAATGACTGAAAATAGACAAACCAAACTAATCGAATGAACATTATGTGCTTAGGAAATACAGTGACTCCCCGCTGAAGGCTCACCTGCTGCTTCTTCAGCAGGATGTTGACGGAGGTCAGGTCCTTGCCGTAGTCGTCGGACTGCAGCTGCCCGTCCATGCCGGCGAGCCACTTGTCCAGGTCGGCGCAGCTCTGCGTGAACAGCTCCGCCTTGTTGGCGTCGAACAGACACTTGGCTTTGGTCTGCGTGGTGGACTCCAGATCCTCCCACATCTTCACCAGGGACGCCAGCTTCTCCTGCACCATGGCCCCCGTCTCCGGCTTCTCCGCCATCAGAGCCTTCCCGTCCTGAAAGAGGGAAAAGTATTGACTGTGATGGAAACTTCTGAAGCAATGGAGACGAAAGTCAGAGAGACACGAGGGACAGCTGGAACTTTGATGACAGCTTCTACATTCTCAAAGATATGGAAGTCACTGTTATTTTGTATATATTGATTGTTGTGCTTTTACACCTCTATCAGCTGACGCCAACAGGCAGGAGCAGGGAGACAGAGCACTGAGATCAGCCCAAGGTGCAGGCCTGTGCTCAGTGATGGCAGTTAAACTGTATCTGGGCGAAAGCTATGGGCCTAGGAAGATATTTCCCCAACATTGACCATTGATCCCTGCACAGAATCAGGTCAGTTGTGTTCCTCAAGATAACCTCCAAAACCCCCAAAGACCCCCAAAATCTAGTCAGATAGGAGTGCAGTTGTTCCCACCTTGTCGATCTTGTCCAGCCACTCCTTGTTGGACTGCAGCTCGGCCATGAAGGCCTGGTGTTTCAGCCACTTGCTGTGAAGGTTCCTGGCCTCGTCGTACGACATGTCCTGAGCCGTCAGCATCTTCTCGTTGATCCACAGGGACAGCTGCACACACACACACACACACAATATATATGTCATCTAAAAGGCACAAATCACAGACTCTCCAAGAAGTTAATGCAGGTTTTGTTTTTATTTTTAGTTATCTGATATATAGAGTAGAGTCTGATGTTTTTTCAAATATTTACACATCTTTTTTTGATTTTTAATGAAAGGAGTTTGTTTAAATTAAAAGCAATTGTTGTCCTAAATATGACCTCTTATTGTATATATCCCTCATGCTTAAAACACTTGGTTGGACTGTTTTTAATTCAACTTCAAAGTGTTTGTGTTTTACCTCCTGGCAGTCCTGCAGGAACCTCTGCAGGTCTCTGTTGTCCTTCAGCCTCGCCAGCAGCTCACTGGCAGCCGCTCGGTTCTTCTTGTGTCTGCACAACAAAAATCAATATATGTTAAGAATAAGTGTGAGTTAGGGAGGCACGAAATACAGCTTCAGCCCCTCGAATATGGAGATGCCCTGACTTTCTCTCTTTAGATCTTGTTAAGTGAATATCTTTGGACAAGCCGAAACTCTAATAAGCATTCATTCACAAACTAAATCAGGAGACCTTTAACGTTTTACGTCCGGTTCGTTCCTTTGTTCCTCGCTGTACAGCTCCAGTTTGGGCATTGGCCTGTGTTATGTATGTGTCACACCA